CTACGTAGTGGTGGCTACTTGGATATACTTGAAAATAAAGTAATTGATATGGTTCAAAATCCAGCCCAAAAGGATACAACTCTTCAAGAAGTGCGGCACTTGTTTTATAGTTTAAAAAACATGTACTCTGGGCTCGAAACAGAATATTGCAGATTTAAAAGTTTTATAGAATGTAGTGCTTACATTAAACCTGAAGCTTTTATTGTAGGTCATTCTTTAAATTCAAAACATTTACATGGATCTGTGTCCATGGAGTCAACTGATCTTTATGGTCAATTTATTCCCATGCGTTCAGTATTACGTGCATTTTTGGAATTACCAGGTGTCTTTAATAAAATTTTATCGTATACGAATAAACTAGAAAGATCGGATGGCTCTATCATTGAAAATTTAATTCAAGCAAAACTATGGAAAGAAAAAATCAAACCCAGGTTTCTTGATAAACTTGTACTTCCTATTGGATGCTACTATGATGAGTTTGAACTCGGAGATAGTTGCTCTCCTCATAACAATGTTAATAAGATAAGTGGTTTGTACTATTTTTTACCTTGTCTACCACCTGAAGGCAGACCTGCTTTAGAAAATATTTTCACAGCTCAAATTGTGTATGCACAAGATAAATATTTTGGAAATAGTGAATTATTTCGTCGCACTCTACATGAATTGCAGTATCTTGAAACTGAAGGAATTACTGTGATAATAGATGGCACAGAAACTCAAGTTCATTTTGCGCTTGCTGTATTTTTAGGTGATAATGAAGGTATTCATAATGTCTTGGGATTTACTACTTCCTTCAATGCAAACTATTGTTGTCGAAGATGCAAAGTTCACAAAACTATGGCTCATGCTCAAACTAAAGCTAATCCATTTCTTCTGAGGAATCGACAAAATTATGCTGCAGATATTGCCATAAATGACGTCAGCAACACAAGTATAAAATCTTATTATATATGGAATGATCTTTTGGCGTTCCACTGTACTGAAAATGTTGCCTATGACTTAATGCATGATCTCGATGAAGGATCATGGAATTATGATATGTGTTTATTGATTCTGAAATTAATTCAACTAAAACGCTTCACTATTGATGAGTTAAATAATAGGATTCAGGGATTTGATTACGGCTATTGTGAGGCATCAAACAGGCCAGGTATTCTTGAAATAAAAAACCTCTAAAAAAGAAGTTTTCCATTTACAGCTGCTGAGATACTGTGTTTTGTGAGGTACTTTGGTCTTATGATTGAAGATTACATTACAGCTGAAGATAAGCAACTGTGGCTTTTTTATGAAGTCATTGTTGAAATTGTCAACATTCTACTTTCTCCAATTGTACGACATAATGATAAGATATTTCTTAAAGGCTTAATAACTGAACATCATTCTTTATATTTGAAGTTGTTTCCTAATGAGATTTTAAAACCGAAACATCACAATATGCTTCAGTATGATGAATGTTGTGAAGAAATCGGGCCTTTATTGTTTATGTTATGCTGGCGGTTTGAGGCAAAACATAGATCATCCATACGATACGCTGCTGCTAATTGTTGCAACAAAAACTTGCCTGAGACATTAGCTCAAAAAGCTCAATTGAAATTTTGTCATCGTCTTCTTGCTCAAAAGGGTTTGGAATCCAAAATTATAGTATCATCTGGAAAAATCATTCGTACTAATAGAGTTGAGAGAAAATTTTAATGATTTTTTTCATATTTTGCCCAACAAATTTGTCGATGAAATTCATGTTTTAAAATGGGCTGACGTATTAGGTACTCATTACAAACCGGGAATGATTTTATTATGTGGATTTAGTGAAGAGTATCCTATATTTGGTCAAATTAAATATATTTTGTTTGAAATGGATACTAAAATCGTTTCTTATAAGTAGTAAAGCTATGGGGATTCTAACCCAGGGGCAATGAGGGGGGTGCGGGGCG